AACAAAAGAAACCCCCACCTGTTTCCACACAGGTGGTCCCTGCAGGTGACCCCCTCTGCATGGCTCTGTGTTTCCTCCTGCAGTGGGCTCTCATTTACCTCTTCATATTTGTCTAATATTAACACAAGCCCCAGCTCTCTAATCCTATGGTGGGTCTTTCTGGCATGACCAGTTTCCACTCTGTGTCTCCTGTTTAGTATAAACTATCAGGTGAGGACCAAGAGGCCCAGCACAAGTCACAAAGGCAGTCCTATCACTCTGGAAATTCCAGGGGTTTAGAGGTTCCCTCCCAGGAGCCAGGACAAAGGCCAGAACTCTGTTTGGGATTGTTAGTTGCCACTGAGTCCGTTCTGCCTCATGGTGACCCCAAGTGTGCAGAATACAACTGCTCCATAGGGTGTTCAAGGCTGTGACCTTTCATAAGCAGATCAGCAGGCCTGTCTTCTGTGACGCCTCTGGGTGGGTTCGAACCGGCAACCTTTCGGCTAGTAGTTGAGCATTTAACTGTTTGTGCCACCCAGCTGCCATAGAGCTCTCTTTAGGTGAGATCTAATTCTTTACCACAGAGGTAGAATTGAAATACGTCCATCACACTAAAATACTGAAAAACATGAAGAGAAAATGATAGTGAGAATCCGGCCAGGAAATCCATGGTTTAAAGACAGCTGCTCTCAATCTGGTTAACTATACTGTTGGTAGGTGTGTACCTTAGGTTTCTATAAAAGACATTTGATAGTTTCATGAATTAGTTTTACATATTATTCCCAGGGCCTTACACATTCTTACACTATCATGTTAATAAGGAATCCTGGTGGTGGAATGGTTAAGAGCTCAGCTGCTAACGGAAAGTTTGGAAGTTTAACCCACCTAGCTCCTGTATGAGACAAAGACCTGGCAATCTGCTTCCCTAATGACTACAGTATAGAAAAACTTATGGGGCAGCTCTACTGTGTCATATGGGGTCGGTAGGAGTCGGAATCGACTTGACTGCACCTAACAATAACATCATCATGTTAATAGTAGTAAAAATAGTAACTAATTATGTATATGCATATGTGTGTGTTTATATAATGACCTTATAACTAATTCTTTGTTGTTGGTTTTTAACTTGTTTCAAGTTGCCTCAGTAGGAATCCCTCAGCCAATGTCCTTTCTCTGGTGTCTGTTTTACTTGCCTTTTTGATTCTTTGAGTTCAGTTCTAGAACCCAATCGCCTGCATTTTGTCATTTATTAAGATGTTTGACCCAAGGCAAGTTAGAGTCTGTGACATAGTTTTGTTTCTCTCTCAGGTATGAACCGATCCTTTCTGTTATGATCACGAGGTTAGATCCTAACCTTTCCTGAAAGCCTTTTATTGACACTTTGTCATCGATAATGGGACAGATTGTTTCTCTGGTTCATCTATTATACGTTACTTTGTGGATAGAACATAATATTTATCACTTGGTTAAAGAAAACCGCTTGTTGAATTGTTTTTTTTCATTTCTATATTTTTTTTATCATCCACAGAAATGTAAAATCTGCAGTGGATCTCGTGTCTTCAGTACCCCTTAAGCAGTAACTCCCCGTTCTCTCCTCCCGAGTCCCTGCTAGTAGCTAATAAACTTTGGTCCTTATACTGTAATCATAGATTAAAATTAGGGATGTATAACTTGCTGAAAATGATGTTACATGGACCCAGCCATAGCCTTACCTCAATTAAAACTGATTCATATGCTTCTTGCCTCCCCTCATATTGTGTGAAAATAAGAACAACCTCCCCCTCCACCAGGGCACGGTGGACCCTTGGAGAAATGAGTGTTTCATGTTAGCTACTATTGATATACAAGGATTTGTCCCCAGAAGGAGTGGGTGTGCTTGTGTCCTGCTCAGAGGGCTTTGTAAAGGGGCATAATGTGGATGAACTACAGGAACCTGGTCTGCCTGGGTGAGGTAGAAGTCAGGACCTGCCCCGGGATGGCTTTGTATTTTCCATTGTGAGTCTCTTGAGAGCCCCTGCCTTTCTACACTGAGTTTCCCTTCCCTTCTTTATGGGAATGATTGAGGCTTTGTGGATTCAGAACGGAAGAGCTTCATAGTGTGCCATCTGCACTTTGACCTTTCTTTTCCTTCAAATGATCTGCCCTGAGTTGATGGTGGTTCCAAAACTTGAGTGTGCATAAACCCTGTGGCCAGCATTGCACACATCCAGTGTCCTGCTTACTCCCCTGTAGTTTTCATTTCGTAGCCCCTAGACGAATGTTTAGAGGTGTGCACCTTTAAAATGATCCCTAAACGTTTAAAAGGAAGAGGAGAGTGGCTCCTTTAAAAAAAGAAAAAAATATTGTGGTAAAATATATGTAACTAAAGTTTTGCCATTTTCACCATTTTTAAGTGTAGAGTTCAGTGACATTAAATATATTAATGATGTTGTGCAACCAACTCCACCTTCTAATTCCAAAACTTTTTCATCATTTCAAACAGGAACTCAGCACCCCTTAAGCAATAACTCCCAATTCCCTCCTCCCTGAGTCCCTGGTAGCCACTAACAGACTTTGGTCCCTGTGCTTTTGCCTCTTATTGCATGGAAGTTATATCGTATAACATTTGTCCTGTTGTGTCTCACTGATTTCACTTAGCATAATGTTTTCAGGGTTCATCCATGCTGAAGCGTGAACAAAATTTCTCTTTCATTTGATGTGTTTTTTATATCATTCATTCATCTGTTGATGGCCACTTGAGTTGTTACCACCTTTTGGGTATTGTGAACAGGGTTGTAATGCACATTGGTATGCAAGTATCTTTTTGAATCCCTGCTTTCACATACTTTGGGTTCAAACTGCCAATTTAAAGATGGAGTGTCTGGGTCATATGGTAATTCAGTGTTTAACTTTTTGAGGAGCTGCCGAGTTATTTTCCACAGTGGTTGTGTTATTTTCTGTTCTCACCCACAGTGCGTGAGGGTTCCGGTTTCTCTACATCCTCACGAACACTTGTTCTTTCCCAGTTTCTGATGTAGCCATCCTAGTGGGTGTGAAGTGGTATCCCATGTGGTTTTGATTTTCATTTCTCTAGTGCCTAGATGACCCTGAGCGTCTTTTCATATGCTTGTTGGGCGTTTGGTTATCTTCTCTGGAGAAATGTCTATTTAAGTCCCTTGACCATTTTTTTAAACTTTGGAAGTAAATCGCCTGGCCTTTCTTCCTAGTTTGTCTTAGACTGGAAGTTCCCCTGAAACCTGTTCAGCATCACGGGAACATGCAAGTCCCCACTGACAGACGGTGGTGGTTGTGCATGAGGTGTATTGGTCTAGAAGCTGTGTTTTCCGTGTGAGGGGCGTGAATTCTACCTCTGAACAATCACTGTCCCCATTTTCCATCATACTCCCACTGCCATGGAGTCAATTCCAAGTCATAGCGGCCCTATATGACAAAGTAAAACTGCCCCATAAGGTTTCCAAGGCTGTAGATCTTTATGGAAGTAAACTGCCACATCTTTCTCCCGTGGAGCGGTTAGTAGGTGGGAACCACTGACTTTTTGATTAGCAGTCAAGCACTTTAACCATTATGCCATTGGGCTCCTCTATTATAATAGGGGTGGCTGTTTGACACACAACTTAGCCATAACATAGACAGAGTCACTGGGTGTCATCCTTTCCCATGTAAACAGTGCAAACCTAAGAAGGAGAAAATAGGCCTTTCCCTCATCCTTCAGTCTTCCTTTTTCTCATACAGCAGCCAGCTGCCACAGTGAGAATGCAGGCGTTTGGTGATGGAGGCAGAGCAGGCAGGAAGCAGGAGCCTGGGCCACTGATTACTTCACAGAGCGCCTGTCACATCCTGCACTGTAACCTCTGGACTTGTTGTTACAGGAGGAGATAAAATGATAAAAGTCATACTTGTTTTGGTTTTCTGGAGTCACTGGGGTGGCGCCTACGTTAGGTAATAAGCCTTGCACAGGCTGGAGGCTGGGAGAGGCGAGCAGTTCCTGGCTGGACCACTGAAGCCGGCAGAGGGGTGGGGGGCGCAGACAGCACTCGTGGGCGGGCTTGGACAGGGCATCTGTGACAGAATATTCCTTCCTTCAGTTACAGGCTCCAGAGCAGTGAGTGTTTGGATGTGGATACCCCAGGGAAAATTGTGAAAATGCAGATTTTTATCTTGATTTCGGCTTGAGATTCTCTACATCAAACAAGCTCCCAGTTTATGTTGAAAATAACTATTGTAGAAATAGGATGTGAGTTAAAACCAGAGAATGCTGTTAGAGAAATGAATAACAGGCTGGATAATGCTTAAAGAGCAGCCACTGGTATACAAATCTTGCGAGAGAGAAGAGAAAGAGAAAACATTTACTCAAAGACCAAGAAATTAAACAGCAGGTATCAGCTGGGTGGGGTGGAGGGGAGGAAAGAAACGGGAACAGTCGTGGGGGCTGCTCCTTAGAGAAAACTGAATGAATTTCTGATTTATTGATTGATCAATTATTGTAAGGTTGAAAGAGAACGTTTCCAGATTTCTGGAAAGACTGCTGGTGTCATGGATAGACAGTGAACAACGACAACAGAAAACCCTAAAAACCTCAAGGGGAGGAAAGAGATGTTATTTACAAAGTCAACAGGAAAAATACTGATTGCATATTACCGTGGTATAAGTGAAATCAGAATTTAAAAAAAAAACAAAAAACAAAGCACAACTAAAGAGTTTTAACTGCACTTAATTACAAATCAATGATGCATGGTGAGTTCATTGACTTAAACTGAAAAAATACATTCTTAAAATTCGCTAAAGTTTATATTAAAAGTGTGTAGGTTCTATAAAGATGAACCCTTAACTTTATAGGTGAACCCTCAACCTAAGCTTTGGACTCCTGACACCATGGAGGAAGCCAGGTTCACGTGTTCCAGCCTGGGCAGGCCTGGATGCCTCTCATGCTCTGGGATGATTAAGCCCCTCCTGTGACATTGTGGCCAGAGGAAGAGGCCTGTGGAGCTGCATGAAGAATGCAAGTGTGTGCTCTGAAAGGCTGGAGCAGGATCTGTCTTAAGTACAAACGCCCTCAGGATGGAGCATGGCCTTGAGCCTGGGGGGATGCCCTGTCCAGGGAAAGAGCTGAAGACCAAGATCCTGTTACTTCCTCCTTGCTCACCACTGTCTCATTCCATTTCAGGTTCCAGGTGTGGCACAGGGAAAGTTAGTCCACCCTAGGCAGCTGGAGACCAAGAGCAACGTTGCACATCCATGCAATCACAAGTAAGGATTTTAGCTGCTCTGACTGGTGTGTGGACCAGACATCATTCATCTGCTTCCAAACTGCCTAGTGGCTCTGCTTCCCCTGCCGCCCCTCTTCCTGAAGAGGCTTCCTGGGCTTAGAGAGCACATTCACTTAGACTTCCAGAAGCTGGAGTCAGGAAATGGTGCGTATTACAGAGAACTGAGGTACTGTAACTCTAGGGGGTGAGGCTGCATATGAATTATTGGGGTAGTGTGTGCTCCAGGCCTTGAGGTTTCTCAGTGAGGTAAATAGGTGGCAAAGGAGACCATGGAACTCAGACCTAAGAGGCATCCTGGTGCCCTGCTCCACTGTCACTGGGTCCTTCCTCTACACAGGTGGATTTTCAAGCCTTGGATGCCTGGGGCCACCTTCCTTCTGTGACTCTGATGCATCATGGGGTGTTAACATCCCTGTCCTGGGCCTTGGTTCTTTGTGTTCAGTGACAGAACCTCCTGACCAGAGTCTGAAGATAGAGCAGCTCTGGCGGAGGAGACCGAGCCCCAGATCCTCCAGAGCCATCCTTGTCCCATCACTGCACATAGTTTTCTAGGCTTCCCCGGTGCACTGATGCCTTTTCTTTGCAGTTCTGTAACTGCAGCTCCATCTCACATGGTATGATGTGGTGGAAAACTGGGGAGAGAGTTGGTAGTGAAAGGCCCTGACTGTTAATGGGGTCCTGGTGGGGTTGGTCCTCTCATGAAGTCACCAGCGAAATGAGGCGAAGGACAGTGTGTCCAGCTGGATCATGTGTGGGGTCTCCAGATCCATCCTTCTTCGAGGGATGCTCTTTGAGGCTTTCCGGTGTGTGGGAAGCATGTTTCCCCAGTTTGTGTCTTTGTCCTCCCACCCATCTCCGTCTAGAGCTGGTAGTGAGTCCCTGTAATTTTCACTTGCTCTCCCCAGTCTCGGATAACCAAAACCAAACCTGTTGTCATCGATTCCAACTCATAGGGACTCTATAGGACAGAGTAGAACTGCTCCATGTGGTTTCCAGGAAGTACCTGGTGGATTTGAACTGCCAACCTTTTGGTTAGCAGCCACCATACCTCTTAAACACTACGCCACCAGGTTTTCCACTGTCTCGAATGGGAAATTAAAATAAAAGTGTTCTATTTTGCTAGAGAAGCTCAACATATGAGATGGTGTATTTAACTCTTGGGTTTATAGTTTCTATAGGAAGAAAATTTCTATATCAGTTTATGTTTCTATTGAGAATTTTTCAATTTAATGGATATAAATTTTTCAGACACTGAAAAATGCCTTATTTTAACTGATGGAAAAGTAAAAATTCAAAAGTAAAGCATGTTATTTCTCCTACTTTGTTACACAAAAGGGAGCTTCAAATTTACAGTTGCTTTTTAATTAACACATTTGCCTGAGGTCTTTATAACGATAGATAGCTTAAATCTATTTTCTGGTAACAATCCGTAATACTGTATATGGTTGATACTTGTTTATTGTTTTGACTGTCCCACCACAAATGGACACTTGATTGTGTCCAGTATTTTACAAAGCTTGTTTTAGTGAATATAAGTGTAAATGTCTAAGATCCAGGTATCAAACGTTGAGACATACAAGGCCTTCTGAACTAAAACAAGTTAAATCAAAATGAAGTTTTACATGACTTTGTAAAATTATTATGTGAAAATTGTATTTCTTTCATGTTTTAAGCCATTGCTTTAAGCTTTTATTGTCAGCTATATCATCTGCATAAACTGTTCGTTGTGTAGTTTAAATAATAAGAATCTAAATCCCTGATAAGATATAGATCTTCTCCGTTTTTATGGCCTCCCATTGTGTCCCACCCTGATGTCATCTACCTCCTGCTTGGAGATGATTGCTCTTTGCTTTTGAGAAGTTTATTATTATTACAGTTATTATTTCGATTACTATAGCTTTGGCAGCCAAGTCTTTTTTTTTCTTTAAATAACATCTTATTGTTTTTTTCAACGAAGGTTGACACAGCAATTTAGGTTCCCACTGAACAATGTCTGTGTAAATTGTTCAGTGACAATGGTTATCCTCTTCATAATTTGTGAACATTCTGAATATTTCTGTTCTGGTTGTTCCCATCAGTTTAGGTTCCCTGCCCCCTTACATTCTTTGCTTTCAAAAAATTGTTGACCATTGGGTCTCATACAGCTGATTTTTTAATGGAGCACAGTACTCACAGGTGATGGTCTTTATTTTGTGAGCCAATATGTTATGTAGCTAAAAGGTGACCTTGGGCTGGTTTTGGTTCAAGGTTGAAGGAGTATCTCAGGACAACATTCTTGGGGAATCCTCCAGTCTTTTATTTTTGTTGTTGTTTAGGTTTTTTGTTTTTTTTTTCTAAATTTGAGATTCTGTTCCACGTTTTTTCTACCATTCTATCAGGGTCCGTCTACTGTAACCCTGATCAGAATTGTCAGTAGTGGTAGCTAGGTGCTATCCCATCTAGTTCTTCTGGTCTCAGGGTAAGAGAGCCTATGGTTCATGTAGACTGTCCTATAGACTAATTTCTTTTATGAGTCTTTGGTTTTCTTCTCTCTCTTTTGCTGCAGAGGAGTAGAGAACAATGGTTGTGTCTTAGAGGGTGGCTCACAAGCTTTTAAGACCCCAGTCACTTCTCACCAAACTAGAATAGAGAACATAAACTTTATGAAGTCTTATGCCAGTTGACCGAGGTGTCCCACAACACTATGGTCCTAATCCTCCAAACCCAGGAAACCAACCCCTTGGGGTGTTTGGTTACATCTAAAGAAGTATTGCTAAATGTGACACCCAAGTCTGAATACCTAAAAAGTCTGTGTTGTTTAGTTTTACCTCTTTTGAGCTTTCTGTAAATACACATCTGTCTGGGTTCTTCTGTGACTTGTTTTCCTGAGAATGCTTTTGAGTTTAATACATCCTGGTGTCTGTAGGTCTAGTCTACCCATCTTGCTATGTATGCAAGCTACCATTTTATGAATGGGCCACAATTTACCTGCGTATTGTAGAGCTTACAGAACTTGTGTGGTTCAGGTGTAACTCTTGTTCTTGTGAATGTTGCTGCTCTTATTCTCTTCATTCTCTTTGCAAACTCTTAAGTGCTTTTGCACAGTCATTCTCTAGTGAGGGGAAATCTCTGTGTCGCATGTCATAGCCAAGTTCAAATTTACTAAAAGAGCCGATGTATTTTACAAATTTTCCCTCCCACAAAATATCCGTATATATGTTATTTTTTCCATTGGCTTATTGGAGCCTGGTGGCGCAGTGGCTAAGAGTTCTACTGGTAACCAACAGGTCGGCAGTTTAAATCTAGCAGTTGCTCCTTGAAAACCGTACATGGCAATTGTACTCTCTCCTATAGGGTTGCTATGAGTCGGCAATGGGTTTTTTTGTTTCTTTTATTTAATGAAGTAATTTTTGCTCTTCAAATCCGTGTATAAAATGATATTTTACTTTGATTTTATTGTTCAAGTACCTTACACTACTTCGCTACTGAAAACACTGTGCATATTTCCCATTGTTAACTTCTATCTCTGTGACTTTGTAGGATGATGCAGTGATTAAAAGCTCTGCTGCTAACCAGAAGGTCAGCAGTTTGCATCCACCAGCCATGCGTTGGAAACTCTTTGGGGCAGTTCTACTCTGTCCTGTAAGGTTGCTGTGAGTCAGAATCGACTCGATGGCAGCGGGTTTTGTTTTGTGTTGTTTTTTGTAAACTTCGGAAAATCTCCCCCTAGTGTGTAACTTATTTTCTCACTCATTTTTGCTGCCCTTTGATGAATTGCTGTGAATTTTAATATAGTGGAATTTGTCAGTCTCTTCCCTTTTGTCTGAATCTGCTTATTTAAGATTTTTTTTCTATTCTGATGTCATAAGATCAGTTCCTTGTAACTTCTGAAAGTATTATAGTTTTACATTCTCATATTTAAAGCTGATCTACCTGGAATTGATTTTTGCATATGGAGTACATAGGAATAGACTATTCCAATTAGATAATTATTCGATAAAGAACAAACATTTTCCTTCTACTTGATTCTGACTGATGGCAACCTATGTGTTTCAAAGTAGAACTACACTCAGTGGCTAATTTATGGGAAGTAGACTGCCAGACTTTTCTTCCAAGGTGCTTGTATCTTTCCTTCAACCTCCAGTCTTTTGGTTAATATCTGAGCACTTAATCATTTACACAACCCATGGATTCCAATTAATTGATTCTACCCCACATATTGTGAGTGCTTTCTACCACTGCCCTGCAGAGCTTACTGTGTCAACTTTCTATAGATATTGGTGGACCTTTTCTGGGATGTTTGTTTGTTTATTTTTGTTGATCTATTATGTATTTTTATAATGATACTGTTCTTTCTGATATAGCTTCATTTATAAAATATCTGAATATGACTATATATCTGATATACGTGGACAAGCCCACACTTTATTCTTTAGACTATCTTAGCTGCTTGTGGACATTTACAATTACATACACTTTTTTTTTAACTTAAACTAGCCAAAGTTCATTTCTTTCTTTTTGCTTCTATTGTACTTTAGGTGAAGATTTACAGAACAAATAGTTTCTCATTTAACAGTCAGGACACATATTATTTTATGACTTTGGTTAACAACCCCACAACATGTCAACCCTCTCCCTTCTCGACCTTCTTTTTTTTTGGTGAAAATATACATAGCCAAAGATACACCATTTCAAAAATTTCTACAGGCACAAGTCAGTGACATCGATTACATTCTTCCAGTTGTGCTGCTATTTTCACTTTAGATGAAGGTTTACAGAACAAAACAGTTTCTCATTAAACAGTTAGTACACGTTACCCTATGACAATGGTTAACAACCCCACTACATGTCAACACTGTCCTTACTCAACCTTGGGTTCCCTATCACCAGCTTTTCTGTCCCCTTCTGCCTTCTAGTCCTTGTCCCTGGACTGCTATGCCTCATTAGTCCCATTATCTTTTATAGGGCTGTCCACTCCCTGGCTGAACGGTGAACCTCAGAAGTGACTTCACTACTGAGCCAAAAGGGTGTCTAGGGGCCATACTCTCGGGGTTTCTCCAGTCTCTTTCAGGCCAGTAAATCTGTGTTAGAATTTTGTTCTACATCCTTCTCCAGCTCTGTCCAGAACCCTCTGTTGTATCCTGGTCAGAGCAGTGAGTGGTGGG